AAGCCATCACAAGGCCATCAACCTTGTATTAAGTATCAATGCACAAAAATCCTGTTCAAGAAAATGGGACACAGGGATCCTGGGGTCAGGCAGATGAACAAGTTTCTCAGTCTCACACTCCTCTACACATATACTTACAAAAAGCAAAATGCAGAGGTACGAACAATGGAATTTTTTTTTTTTTTTAAAGTATAAAATCCTCTTCCTCTTCTATAACATCTCTGAGATTTGCCAAATTGCTAACACAATAAGGAAATACTTCCATAGAGGCCCAAGGTAAAAAAACAGGTTTTGGAGACCCTGAATTCTGTTTTGAACTAGAAACATCAACAAAAGCCTACAAGAAAGACTTAGAAGTGACGCAAGGAAGAGTTTCTATAGCATTTATTTGAACTTGGAACAGGAAAAAAAAAAAAAGGCAGATCATTCTCATAAAAACTACCAAGCAGTTTAGGAAATTAAAACCTTGAGAGAAACTCTACATGACTTGCTAGGAACACTGTCCTGTCTAACTCACTTTGCAATTAGTTTTCCAAGTCAGAGAAGAATGCAGCCTAGGAAATTCAAATAACCCTGTTTTTAAACTCGGCAATGAAATTTGCTTAATACTACCTAAGACAGAAGAGCAGTACATTAGTCAAATCTGGGTTTTGGTAGGCCCTTCTACTCTTTCTGATCCTTTTTTAAAAGCTCCCTCTCATCCTGTTTCTTTCAGCTAATGTTACACTTACTCTCTGTTTATTGTGTTGCCCTTTTTCTTTTATGGACAACTTATTTTAAACCCATTATTAGAAGTGTTTTCTGTTTGTTAGGGGACAGAGAAATGTTACTTTGTTCTGAATTGCTTCCAAAAATTATATCTAAACAATTGTCAAATCTGTTAAGAAACAGATTGATTTTTCTTTCAGAGTTTTCACAGCATCAACACAGAGAATTGATGAGAGCTAGATTTTCTATCATTTAACAAATTTTACAATGTCTGATATGCTTTCATTATAAAAGTTTAAGTAAAATTTCAAAATTCCATATAATTATACATGAATACAGAGGGTGGGTGTTGGATAACAACTACAAAAATATGTTTTGTTACACTAAAATGTTTAACATCTATATATTGGTTGGTATTCATTTTGATACACTCTATATAAACACCTAACATATCTTCATTACAGTTTCTTTCACTTCTGAAAAGGGAAAAATAAAGAAATACCTAAAAATAATTTCTGTAATTGAAATTTCTACAAGATAACTTATTGTCGACATGAAGTAACTTAGGTATATGAACCTAGGGGCACAGACTAGAAACACACATGTACCTTCAGGAAAATCTGAGGGCTAGGATTAAAATCAGCAATACAACCCATCACAAAACAAACAAAAAAAGTATAGAAATACTATTTAATAAAAGGAAATTTTAGCACAACCCTGAATAACAATCATGAGACTATTTAACACTATAAATCCCTTAGTTACACAGGTACCATGTGAAATACTGTTTTTAAAATCTGTAACCACCACGATTAGGATTAGACAACAGAAAACCAGATACAAGTAAATAAGAGCAAAAGAAACGAAATAGCTCACAGATGGCCTGCAGCCAAGGACCTGGAAAACATGGGCAGAATTCTTTGTTCTCCTACGGACTTTGCAAAACTCTGGCCAGTCATTTCACATACAGCCCTGCAGTGTGTCTGAGAGAATCTGTCAGGGGTGAAGTTTCATGACATTCTCTGCTGAAACAGGGGGCATTCTGCCCTTCTCCAGCAACAGCCACCCATAGCACATTTTTCTTCACTTTCTTGCTCCAGCATAGATGCTTACCTGACCACTGCAAGCCAGGGAGGGAGAAATCCCTGCTGAAAACTACTCAGTCCTTTGTTGCAGAGTGAATTGTCCTCTGGTTTAGGGGTCTTAGGCAAGTGTGCCATCAGGTGCCACCAGGCAGTGCTGGTACAAGGCAAATGTTGGCAACACACAGGTAAGACAAATGAACTGAATCCTCCTTTTCGCAGGCAGAGTGGCACTACCACAGTACACCCTCAAGGACTGGATTCACCTCCTTCTTCCACCTTCATCCCATCCAAGCTCCTCTTCTCCAGCCACTGTCATCTCATATCTTTCATCTCAGCTGCTCACGTGACAGCAAAAACCCTGATCTCACTCAGAAAGAGTCAGATTATTTTAGAAAATGAATTAACGTGTTTGCTTCCTCCATTCATTTTTGCTCAAAATGAATTAGGGAATTCCTCAAAGACAGCCTGGCTCTGGGGTGGGAACAGTAACTTTTAATGACAACTTCGTAGGGAATATCAAGGTGGTGTGTACCACAGGATTTTACTTCTTCAAGCCAACCTGTCTCCAATCTTGAAAAAAACAGAACCATATCTAAGAGACCCATAAAAAGAAGATAATAATGCCTCCCTTTCTTTGAGAGATGATAGGAGGATAAATACATTAAGGATTATGAGATGTTCAAATACTATTGTAATAGGGAAGATAGAGGTAGCTAAGATAGATAAACTGCTATAAAAAAATGCAGAGAGACCTTAAAAAGAAACATCCAGCTATGTAGAGAGCACAGTACTTTTGTAGTTACTATTTATGTGCCATCTGTGAACAAGAAAAGTACTTAAATCAGTTTTGTTCGTGCTTGAGCTGGGCAAATAATGCAAAGTAGCTACTTGTAAACCCTCGTCCAAATGTAAAGTTTTCTTGATTGCCTTCCCATTCTGTTGACCCATTTTACACATATACTATAATACAGGTACATTTTTGTTTGTCAGAACAGTCAAATGTATGGAGGGAACATGCATTTTCCACCTATTTGATAGCTCCTCTGTGGGTTTGGGAATCAGACACAGAGGGAAAAAATACCACCTGACACAGGATATCAATCACAGAGAGCAAATAGCGAGTTGGGTATAGGAAACAACTACCATAATAGTTATTACACTAGCTGCATGCATCCAGCCAGACACTCAGCCGAAATACATTCTGTCTAAACTATTCTCATGATAATTTTTGAGCAACAAATGTTTCTGTTCATGTGAGTTTCTACAGAGATAATTCATTATCAGAATAAAAGGGCCATATTCATTGAGCTGCTTTCTTCAAATAGATTTTCTCCAGCACAGAAACAATATCACCAACAACATTGTGAGACCATAAAGACATAGTAAGATGCTATAAACCAAGCCTTGGTTTGCTTGTTTTGTTGCTGTGCTGTTCATACAGCTTAAGTAGCTCAGTGACAGGGTCTTGTGGGAAATAGGAAACAGTTAAGGTGAAGTGAGATACAAATCCTGTTAACTTATATGACTTGGGTATTTTTACAGGGAGTGTTCAATTGGAAAGCATCCCTGTTCCTTGGAAGGGAATTCTCAGAATGTTACTCTCTCCGAGGGAAAACAGGTAGAATGAAAAAATAAGATATGATCACTTAATACGAAAGAGTAAAAGACAATACAAATTATTTTTCAGTAATGAGCTACAAATGCTTAGATTTCACGAAATTTTTCTTTCTGCTTAAGTTTCTGTTTTCTCAGATTAACACATAAGTGCAAAAATCCCCAGGGTTCCATTTCTGTCCTCCATATATCATAGCCACCATATTAGCAATCGAGAATATTAGCCCTGTGTGTACTAAAAATGATTTTACAGGAACACAAAGATTCTCTTCCTGATGAAGGTCTTCATGAAATTCCCTACAACAAGTGCCATTCTCTCATTAGATGACCAGACCTGTATCTGTCAAGAAAACTGGTCTTATGGTAAGGGTTTGCTGGTTGTTGTGGTTTTGTTTTTTGTTTTTTGGGGTTTTTTCGCAGAATTATGAAGAAGGTTATTCAATATCCACCTGAGAAATCAGTGTTTGTGAGCTGAACAGAAAGTGGTTTTAAACACTCACATGGTCTATTCCCTCCTCTCCCCTCACAGCTTCATTAGATTGGCAAGGATTGGTAGGTACTTCCTCGTAATACCCATTTTGTCAGTACTACATATCACTGCAGTATTTGCCACAAAGAGACAAAAAAAATGAGTAGGAAGGAGCTGTCAAATAAAAAAGGATCTTAAAGACTAAACTGCCATAGTTTGGAGTATATAGTGAGAGTAATCATTAAAAACATATCAATCAGTGGGAGCAGTTTCATTAAGAGGAGAAAGAAATTCCAAAAGAAAACAAAAATTGATGATTTTGAAGGTCTTGAGCACTATACAGACAAATACCTCTAAAAATTGATCTGGAAACACTGTGTGAGGTGACCCAGTGGCCTAGCCCAGCACAAATTTCTTTAGACACTACTCATAATTGGGCTTTTATTTTTCACTGTAAAAGAAACATGTTAGTTTCACAATTCTATTCAGAATCCTGGGTCTCATCACAAAAGAAAGGCTTGTATTATATTAAGCACTTGCTAAACTAGACCATCTTCAGGGCATTTGCGTGCCTGCTAGACAGATGGTATGTCCCTCAGCTCTTTGAATATGAAAACTCTAGGAGTTCCTAAAAAACCAGGGAAGTAAAGAAACAGTCAAGGGGAGGTGAGAGGGCAGAACAGATCAAATGGGCCCAGCAGTAGACAGTTTCAAGGTATTTTCTTAATCAACAAATCCATACATGCTGGAGGGGAAACCTTGCACCACGCAGCTGTTATTTTTTAACTGGGGTTGTCTCTTACCCTTGTACTACACATCTAAGAGAATGATCACGAAGCACTTCTTTTGCAGTATAACTATACAGCACCAGGAAAAACAGAAATAGCATGATGTTTAGAAACCTTGCAGGTCCAAGACAAGACCAGAGCTGTATTCATTGACTAATAGAGCAATATATTCTTGTGACTCTTGGCTTCATGGAAGATTTTCTGCTACACACATTAATATAATCTGTGTAGGTCACCACAACTATGAATAGAGATAGTCTTCAACAGCAAAAGCTTTTCCAGTATTTTTGGAATACATCCTTTCCAAGGTTTTTAGTCCTAAAGTAATAGACTTACTTTTTTTTCATGATCCCAGAACAGGTCTATGTCTAGTATTACTCACAGCTCTTGCGAAATCTGGGTGTCAATGCTCTTCAACAGGAGGGATTTGCAGCTCATCTCAGCAGGAATGTAGAAAGCTTAACCTGGAAAAACACAGAGTCTATGTTTAAGGCAGAAAATGACAGTTTAAAAAATTTTAAGGGCTATCCTTACACCCACTGAAAAATCTGCAGTTCAGGAATAGAGCTGGTGAGCCGAAATGCAGTTGGTAGGGAGGAAGACGTTTGAGATTTGGTCCCATTTTTACAGCAAATAATTAACACTTCATTGCATAACTGAAACTTCCCAGGGCATGACTGTTCCTCAGGACAAGTGTCACAAAAAGAAGTAAAGAAACACTGTTTTCCTGAAGAGGCTCCAGGGAACTCCACGTTCCCTGATTCAAAACCAAAAACATCTCTTTCTTCAGAAGTAGAGAACAGCAGCTTGCAACTGATTCCTGTTCAGTCTGCCCCATAGCTACATCGGCATCCCTTCACATTCTGCCTTCATTCCTATGAAAATTCATTAGACCCCAGAGATTTTGAAAACCATAACACTGATGGATATTTTTTTAAATTGTCAAGACTGATAAACACATCACCCAAATGGGAGCTACCAGAGCTGGTCACCTAAAGTTAACACAATGTGCACAAATATCCTCAAATCCTCCTTTTTCTAGTTGTTGAGATTTCTTTGATATAATATCAAATAAATAATCAAAAGCTCCATGAAGTTCTGCATTTCTCCTCCCTGGTATATCAATTTTTATACAAAAATATCCAACACCTGAAAGTGACAATAATACTTGCAGCCTATGAATCTGAGCAATAGATAACCTCCTCTTGATGGAATTATATGGAATATTATAGGTGAAAGTCCTCTTTGTCCTTCCATATTTTACTGTAAAGGTATGTACAAATACTATGGGGAAAAAAAAGAATAAAGTACAAGCACAGTGATCAGGGAGAAATCTTTTGTGTGCTGAAATCTCTACAAGAGATCCAAAAATTTGCCAAAAAAAAAAAAAAGGAAAATACAAGGCACAAGGTTTGGTTAATGTGGTTTTGGGAGAGTGATCAAAGATACGGGAGTAAAAATAAATGTGGACTGAGAAATCAGGAAGCAGCAGACTACAATATACAGTAGTCTGTTCATTTACATGACAGCGATAACAGAAATAAAATAAGCAAATACATTAATGTCAGTCACAAGGGAACAGAAAGATTTTATAAATATATTTAGTCTATTAAATAAACAAAGGGAAACAGTCAGTAGTGATTACAAGCAGCTTATTTAAGCAGTCTTTAATAAACTCAATGGCTTGGAAAAGAGGAGCCTTTGTAAAAGTGATAAAAATCATCCTCTCCATTGGGGTGCTAGTTAAGAACCATCTATAAAAGCTGTGAGGGTCAATTTGGTCCCACTGTAGTAAAATGGAGCTTATCGATTATTTCAGTTCTGCTAAGTATCTGCTAACATTCACCTTTCAGTAAAAGCAATAGTCATAGAATTCCATTTGGGAATTTTTCTTTTGATTCTCCAGTAATTATTCTGGTGAAGGTAATAGTCAAATTCTGCTGGAATTTTTGAAGTTGTCAGCTTGAGCTTCTAGGTGGAGACTTTCCATGGCACAAACCCTGCTAGAAATTAAGTATTATAATCAGAGACTCACAGCTGCAGTGAAGGAATTACGCTCTCACTTACTTAGACATATTTCCTCTGTTCTCTCATGCATCTGCCTGTCAGGCTGTCTCTCCCACCTGGGGCAGAGTTAGATCAGACCGGGCTATCACAGATAAACATCAGTACAAACAGGCTCAGTGTACCACAGGGAAGAGAGAGCCTCTGACAAAACACCAAGCATCATGAAGCAGAGTACTTGGCATCCCACTGCTAAGCCTGACCTGCCTCCATATCTCAGTCCATCTACAGCCTGTTTCCTGCTGATTTATCCTGTTGCATCCAGTCCACACACAAAAAGGACTTGGAGAAATGCAGTTCAGTTCAATTCTGGATAATGTAGCAGGGAAAAGAATTTGGAGAAAAAAAAAAGAAAAACCAAACCAAACCCAAAAAAACCCCACACAAAACCCCAAACAAACAAATGAAAACCCAACCAACCAAACAAGCAAACAAACAAACAAACCAACAAACAAAACAAAACAACCCACCAACCAACAAAAAACTTCCTAAAAAATAAGTTAGGAGTGTTGTGGTATGTAGTTATTGCTTTAAACCCTACACTGGAAATCAGCTGTCAGAACTAGAGTCAGGGGATCTACTTCCACTTAGCCTGCCTCCCAGCATAATTAGGCTTCCACCTCTGCATAACCTCAGGAACTCTCTCCAAGCATAATTCTGTCTATGGCAAACCTAGCCAACAATAAGCACATTTCTTACAGCTCCTATGGGGATTTATTCAAAATACTTTACAGTGTTGGCTAACAAGCTGGAAACAGCAGGAAAGAAAACGAAAGTGCCCCATGACTGCTGCTTGGGTTCCAGGGTTGAGGAACATAGCATAATATCAGGCTTAATCCAAAATGTTTTTCCTTTCAACCTTCCATAGAATTCCTATCACAACACTGTCATACCCAATTATAGGAGGGGAAGGGGGGGAACAAACAAACAAAAAAACCCCAACAAAACAAAAAACCAAAAAAATCTTCTTCTATCTCTGTACAAATTCAGCACCATAATCCACTCCTTTCCCACAAGTGATATCCTACCATTGGACATATTAAAAAGGATTCTTTTGCCAAGAAATCAGATTTTGCTAAAGTGAATTAGGATAAAAGTTGATGTGTATTGTGCCTGACCAACAGAGAATAACCATTCTTGAACAAAGCAACGTCTAATGGTAACCCTGACAAAAGGCCACTCAGAAAAGTGAACTGTGATAATGCCAGACAACAACAGAACTGCCAGTAGCTGGCAAGAAAAGACAGAAACCCAGCACTGAGAACAGATCAGCTGAGGGGAGAAAGTTTCTACTGGTCTGAACCAGGAATATCATCTTAATTGTTTCAATGCCTCCTGTATCTTCAAATGTGCTGCTCTCACCCTGCTTGGATGCTCAAATACTCATTTTGCACTGGAGGAGCACAGTTCCTGAAAACAAGCAAGAAAATTTTCACAGCCTGCCTCATTAATTCTATTTTTTCCCCTTGTCTTCATAAGCCCTCTTAGAGAGCTGAGCCTCAGGGGTCACTCCCCCTTCCTCACATCCCTGCCTCCCTGCTGCCATAAAACCCATTGCAGGGTGAGCTTACTTCTTCTACTCTACCTCCCACTTCAAAGTCTACAGGTAGTCAGACAGAAGAAGGACTGAAACCACAGCTGAAACCATAGGTTCCAGGAGAAACATGACAGAGAGAAAGCAGGAAGGGAAAGAGGCGGGGGGGGAGAGGGAAGAGAGCACTGACAGAGCTCAGAGAAGACTTTGATTAGAAGCAGTAGTAGCTTGATTCAGAAACCCCAGACAAAAACCCGGCCAAAAAGGGTCACTCTACCTGACTCAATTTAAGTACTGCAAAAAGGACATATTTATTTCTTGCTACTGAGAAACAGGTTCAATAAGTGCTCCAGAAGTGCTTCATAACACCCCTCAGTTCTTTGTTCCTTATTACCTTCATCACTCTGAGTACCAGATGTTTCTCCTCTGTGCTGTGATGGGGTTGGTACATCCTTTCCCAAGCTCCTCCTGCTCCCTAGTCTAGCAGTTCTCAGCCACCCTCCCACTACCCTACATGCCATGGTCCCCATCTGTTAGCAGACATTACAAGTGTGTTTTGGGTCATTTTCTCAGTGTGGGTTCCATGCCCACTCTAATCCCTTCCCTGAATTTTACCAGAATAAATAGTGCTTTGCTCTTAACTGTCTCTTATTCAGACAATCTGAAAGGATCAGAGTCATCCAATTTAAAGATATTATGGTTAAGCGGTCAGAGAAAGACAGGAGAAAAAGGATTGGTGCAAAATATTGCCATGTGACAATCCTGGAAGGTGCAGCTATAGCAGGAGGACTCTGACAACAAGGAGTAACTGGGGACATCACAACTGAGCAAAGGTACAGCTCTGAGAAGAATTAACCTGTGATATGAATACAATGAACAAAAATTTCTTTAGTTCTCCAGATCAATCTAACCTGAGCAGACACTACTGTAGTTACACTGTGTTTGTTGTCACACTGTCTAGTGTTGCTCCCAGAAAGAACTGAGGAAAAATTAAACAAGTGAGGAAATGACATGGAAAGAAAAGAGGGAAGGTATCATAGCAAGTTCTGTTCCATGTTTAAACTCTGCAGTCCTTTGTTGAACTTTTTTTTTTTTTTAAATTGGATGTAATATGAATATCTCGATGCATTTAGTAAAATTGCAGCAATTTTTCCATACCATTGTTGTATAACTATTTGTCTTCTTTTACTAATGCCAGCAGTCTTAGATAAAGACTCTGGAGAGAGTGAAAATATCTTGCTGTGAGACACACCAGCAGAAAATCCATTTACTTCAAGTGATGTTTCTATGGGTTTATATCACTATATCCACAAGACAAATCTGGAGGAACAAAGAAAGAGGAAGGGAAAAGAGAATCTCTATCCACTCTTTGCAACAACATCAAACATTGTTGTATCTCTGTCTCAAGCTAGAGAGGCACCTCTAACTTCTCATCTCACTGGAAAACACTGACATTTCAAAATACTTGATTTTTGATACTTATATATGCAGTGCAGTTATTATAGTGCTGACCACAACACTTGCAACACCATGCAAAAGCAAAAACACTTGTAACACCATGTTAAATTATGTACTTTCAAGAGCTTCGGGCAATGTCTTGACAACGTCTATAGCTGACAGGAGATATGTTACCCATTAAACATCTGTATAGTTAAATACATGCCATCTATACAGGTTTGGTAAATACAGACCAAAAAGAGTATGGAGATTGAAGTCAGCTGTAGAAGTTTACTTGATATTCCTAATAGTTCTGTCAGAGTCTCTCTTTGACAGTGACTCCTGTCCAGAAAGATCAGACAGAGGGAAAACTGTTGTGAAAAAAGTGGCTTTTAAAATTCAAGAGAAAAATGGAGACCCATAATCATGAAGTAATGTTGTAATGGTCCAGTGCCCCACAGTCCTGGGCAATTTTTCTGAGGCAGTTCCTACATGGATTGGGCATGATATTTGAGATTAAATTTATAGCAGAATACGGGAATGGTGTCATGAGACTCTACTGCCTCTTCCACTCTT